GTCTGTTGAGTTTGGGCGACAGGGCACGCTTCGTCGTCCGACTAACGAAAACGGTCGATTTCGGCCTGGTGTGTCAGGGCCTTTAGACCACAGCATTGGGGGATTTTTTGATACTTGCATTTACAAAGTCCATCGCTAAGTCCGGATCCTCAAATGTGTGTGTCCAACCGCCTGGCAGGGTTATCCTCCAAATGAAATAGCATTTTTGAGGATGAAATCCTTTCTAAAGATAGGAACCAGATGTTGTTTAGAAGAAAAGTGGGAATACACCCAAAGGCACTGAAACTACAAGCAAGGTAAATTACAAATCAAAATGATCTTACTTGAATGTGTTTCTCACTTGTATTTATGTGCTGTTATTTACATTTATTGTTGCCAGTTGGTGTTGATTTGAGTCACTCGTGTTGTCATAACTGCTGTGTTAGACAAACGCTATTGTCATTACACATGTGAACATGTGTTGGTTTGCAGCATGTTTTATAGTGTTGTGTTGTAATTCTACCACAAGAGAGCACCGTGGCGGCAGGAGTAGACTGTATTTCAGAAATATGCTGAAGTTTCCCTTCATCTCATTTTACTTTGTCTTTTTCTGTCTTCATTTTACTGCTATGATCCCTGTTCTCTAAGATCCCTAAGATCTGGGTGAACTGCAGTCAAACTAAAATACATGTGTTACGGTAAGAGCATGGAAAAGGTGTCTTATAAAGATAGCTAGATTCTAATGAATGTTATAGTGATTTTACAGTCAATCAATAAGTCAGGCAGTCTGTCATTAATTAGTGAATAAATACAAATGCATATGTAATGAGAATGCAATATTATGAAAAAAAAGTATACAAATATTGATAAATGAAACGATTTCTGTTATTAATTATGCCCTTTCCTAGAAATGTATTACGATTTGATAAATAATAGGTCAAAATTAATAGTACAACATTTCTAAAGATTAATCTGACTCACTTCACCTACTCCTACCTGAGTGTCACTCAGTTTTCTCAGTGCTGGATGGTGTCTGGCAGTTTATGAAGCACTTGATTTGATATGCAGCAGCATTTTCTATGAGCAGAGCAAACATTTGAAATGCAATTCATGACAATAAACATTTGCAGAGCTGATGACGTATCAGCATACAGAAGGGGGATGACATTTCAGTGTTACTGTCACAACATGTAACTATTTATTTAATTAATTTAAGTCAACTTGTGTGTGGAAATCATATAACTATTTATTTAATTAATTTAAGTCAACTTGTGTGTGGAAATATGTTCCCATAATGTGTTTTGACTGTGGCTTTGGCACACCCTCACTGTTACCATTTGGATCACACTACTGAGGGTGTTAATAATCCCCTTAGTGGTTACTTTAATGATGACTCTAGTGACTGATTTGTATGCTTACTTTGCAAAATTGCTTACCCTTTAAACCCTTACTTCTCACCCTTACTCAATTAGATGAAGTTACTTTTCCATTTTCATCATCCAATTTTAAGACTTTCCCTTGTTGAACACTATTAGAAACAGCCTATGAACCAGATCTGGGTCAACCCCTGACTGTGGATATTTGGGATTATATCAGTCATTCCCTTTTTCAGTTTAAAGTTGTGTACAGAATACATTTATATAAGGCAAAAATAAACCGAGATATTCTCCCACTTACAAAAAGTGCAAAAGCTCACTAAATGAAGCTCAGCCCAAGTTCTTTCAGGAAGACTGGTTCCCACGCTCTCATTCACAATTCTCTCTCACTCACTCGCCCTTTCTCTCAATAAGCAAGGACTTCAGGAGAATTGATGCAACCCTCCTCCACCTCCTTCACCTCCAGTTTCATCAGATCCAAGGCAGGCTAGCCCAGAAGAACCCTCATCACGCCGGATTTGTATTTCCCTTCCCGTACTTTACCACCACCAGTGTCTAGACCCCGGGGGGGTTTCTCTTTTCTAGTCGGCTTCTCGTCCCCCTTAATTCATCACAGTATGATGGGGTCTAATTTCCAAAACATTATTGTTCACACGGCAATACATATGTTATCAACTACGAACTAAGTCTCTCCTGATTGAAATCATATGTATTGGCTATGGCGGAGAAACAATTGGGAAATTGTTTTTTGACACAAACTCTCCAAAATCTTACAATAATTCAACCTGACCGCCTGCTGACAGTGTTCCAGCTGAAGCCACAATTACCTGCTACAAAAGTTGTTAATTGTGCGATTTTACTTTTAGAAAATGACGCTATGTAAATAAACATTGTAAAATAAATAGCTTTAGCTAGGAATAAACTGTCTCTTACTGTAACAGCGCATTTCTATGTACATGATAGCTGCCTCGCGTATATTGTGAACATTTGGAGTGTTGGGTGTGTAGCTTGTCAGAAATTGTACCGGTACATATATCTGGCCTTTGATTTGATGTTATGCCTTTTCTTTTGTCTTCTGTTGAAGAGCATTGGTTGGGTCTCCACTGAACTTGCTTTCTTTAACTAACATTCATTTAAATTAAAGAAAATGCAGTAACAGAATCTTGATTCATATTTGAACGAAAGAAAGAATTAAAGGGGTCCCTCAGAAAACAGCTATGGTACGTCCTGAGTGCTTTTTAGCCAACACTTTACTAAACTTTTGTCATGTCTAAGAAACTTATAGTGAAAGTTTATTCTTTATGTTAGTTTTGTCATGTCCCTTTGTCCTGTGCTTTATGTTTATTCCCTTAATTAATTCTCCCATCTCATTTCAGGCCTCCATGCTCCCCGCCCCCTTCTGTCTCCTGCGTCCTTGATTATTTTCCCCGCCCTGATTGTTTCCACCTGTGTCCCCTTTACCTGTGTATATATGGTGTTAGCTCCCTCCTGTTCATTGTCAGTTCGTTGTCTCTCTATGACCTACGTTCCTGCTTACCTCACGGACTTCTCACGGATCTATGTTATTGATCACTGTTGTAGTTTTCCTCGAAAGAGTGTTTTGTTTTCCTTGTTTTCATTACTGTGCAAATCCCAGTAAAGTATTTATTTTGAAACACTATCCGAGTCTGAGTTTTGAGTCGTGCAATTGAGTTCATGCCTCAGAGTTCACTCCTTGACAACTTTGCAGCAAAGCAAACACTCTCAAGGGTAGGGCTGCTCGATTATGGCAAAAATCATAATCACATTTAATAGTTGATTACCCTGAACTTTAAGTATAATTCAACTGAAAATCCAATACAAATATATATATATATATATATATATATATATATATATTCATAATAATTAAAAAATAATCGTTTTATTTAGATTACGTTGTTTTCGTAATTGTTGCAAGCCATAATCGTAATTGCGATTAAAATACGATTAATTGAGCAGCCCTACTCAAGAGGCAATTGTCCAACAAAATCAAACCAACTCAGAAGGGAGTTGGTCATTGTTGGAAACGGTCTTTGCTCTACTTCAATGTATCCTTTTGTATAATCAAGTCAAACCAATACAAGTATCTTTATATAAAATAATACAAACCAGCTCCCTGAAACATTAAGCTCAGTACACATAGTATAAAAGAACATTATGAAACACATGTTCCAAATTATAAGAAATTAATAAAGGAGCATTGATGTTATTACTTTACTAGATTCCAGATCGTGATTGGATCAAACCAGCCATTACGAATAAATAAGCCAGGGGTGTAAAGTTGGGGACGGGGGCAATGGTGTAAGCCTTTATCGGATTTCGACACACCTAGGCTTTGTCACTGCATCTTGCATGATGGTTGCAATGCTATCCAAGTGACAGTATGTGGCCGTTTCTCAATGTTGAGTAAACCTGCTGCAGAGCCACTGTTTCAAGTATACTACGTCATCAAGTATACTACGTCATCAAGTGGCGCCGAATGCTGGGCATTTAACATGCATTTAAACAGTCCTTCGGCACCACTCGATGACGTAGTATACTTGAAATAGTGGCTCTGCAGCAGGTTCACTCAACATTGAGAAACGGCCTCTGTCTGCATAAATATATACACCTGGCAAAGTAGTTAAAACCGCCTCTTTGAAACGGGATGTGTCAAAGGTGGACATTTTGTCAAGTTTAGACATACAGACGCACAATGTAAAATAAATACCAGTGTTGATATTACTGCCAGTAATGACCTTTCAGTCACTTTGGGAGTGGTGACATGCTCCTATCTTGTGTTTGGAATACTGCTTTAGCCTTTGAGTCAACATTTGTATGAGACTGTTTCTTTCTAATTATAAAGAAATCCTAACCCTAATGGAAAGGCAGACAACTGCTATAGTAAAGTAAGATACAGTCTCGTCAAAAAAATCCCCTGTTCTACAACTGCTGTATTATTTATACCTCCATGATGACAACACTGCGTGGCACTCAAAGGAGTAACAATACTTGCTTTAAGGTGTGTGTGTGTGTGTGTGTGTGTGTGTGTGCGCGTGTGTGTGCGCGCAACATAACTACCTTCATTTTGTTGTCACAGAGACATATCGTTATTATAATAATCTTCATTTGTCTCCATAACAATAATGATAAGGGGTAGATGGGGAGTAAGACGATAGAAAGGTGTCTCTAGGATCACATTTTATCATAATGACACTGACACAGACCAACAACGTTTATAAAAACACAAACATCACTGTGGCGGATGGTGAAAACTCAACTGTAATTGATTGTTGTAAAATGAGAAAAGTGAAAGATAATATTTCCCTATTTGTTTCTAGATGGCAGGAAATCCATTGAAAACAATCAAGTGTTTGTAAGACAACATGTCAATTTTTCTTTTGCCGTTCACACATGGTTCACATATTAGCATTTAAATAAAAAGTCCATTCCCTCACTGTGAGGCAGAGCTTATAGGCTGTTTAAAGAATGATGCTAGGGTTCGACTCTGAGGCTGTTTAGTACAGTACAAACAAATGATAACTTAGCAACTTTCCCACAATTACTTTCACTCAGGCAACAGTTAACCTGGTCCACGAGTTGAGTCTACAGTTAACACCCTTGTTTGTATTTGCACCATGTGCTGTGTGCAGCACATTGTAGACAACTTATTTTAACCTTTTTATGAAAAGGTCAAATATATAATCCAGGATATGTCAATATGTAATTTGTGATATTTGAAATGGCACCAAAGATGAGGTGATGACAATCAAGTATTTGTTCTAGATAAGGTATATAAAGAGTGCTTCTCTTCCAAGACCATTACACGACTCATCACACTGCTAGAGCTGTACAACTTCATCTGATCATCACAGCAAGGTAAAGGTTCAGTTTCTTAGTTTCTTTTAACAATAATAACTGTCAAACAAGACTATAGTCCATGTGTTCATATATATATATTTGCAATATGTCAAGGACGACAAAATTATAAAGTGTTGTCAACTAATTCTGTAATATATTAAATGTAACTTGTTAACATCGCTGTTCTTTACATAGATGGCGTCAGTTTTCCACTGCATTGTGCTCCTTTGTTTGACCGGTAGACTAAGGATGGAGGCAGATGTAAGTGATATAAGTTATGCTTAGCTATGGTATAATACAGTGGTAATGACTTAAAAATAATATCATTGTTCCATCACCTGTAACATTAGGATTTTTAAATATTATCATTATGGTTGCACAGTAGTAGTCTCTTAATTGACAATGAGACAATGTAAAGTGATATAATAATCACTGGGGACAGGGACTCAAGTCTCATGATAAGAACGTGTTCAACCCCCATAGATTAAATTCACAAAGTGCGTTTGAACACAGATACTGCAGGGAGTTTAAGTAAAGATTGAATTGGTACAATGACATTTTGGGCAATGCTTCTAGTGTTGTTGTAGTGATTTCAATCTGAGACTCAACCATGAATCAGGATCTGTTCATTCCTAATAATGCGTTCTTTACATTCACAGGCAAGTTGTCCCAGAGGACAAGGTTGGTACATCCTACTGGACAGCATTTGTAGGCTTTCATTGCTTTGGTTGCATTCTAAGTTAATATTTACGAGCTCAAGCATAGAGAAATGCACACCTCAGTTTAAGACCAACAGTAAAAGTGCATTTGAAAACCAAAAATGCATATATGTCCATAAACTGTAGCAAAGAAAGTACCGGTATATCTAATCTAAGGCCCATTAGTATTTTGTTGAGTCTGTTTTTTTTTTACAATTGTGTTGTAGGTTGCCCCCAAGGTTGGTCTCTGCTTGGCTCTCGCTGTTTCATCTTCAACTATGAGGAAAAGGAATGGGCTATTGCTGAGGTACTTTATACAATTACAACAATAATACAGTAACTGGAACACTAAATCTTGGCTTATTCTCTGAAACAGATGAAAAAGATTGGTTGCCTGTCCATACTTTTGCTGACTTTGTTTCCCCTCCGTAGAAATCTTGCACTGCCCTGGGTGGTAATCTGGCTTCCATCCAAACGCAAGTTGAATACCTATTCATCAGACAGTTGGTGAAAACGGCAACAGGCAAAAATAAACTTTCTTGGGTTGGAGGCAATGATGCTGTCAAGGTGAGATTCATGTCTGCTAGTCAATTTGTTTAAATTAAATAAAGGTGAAACGGCATTGTGAGAATTTGCACAATTGTCTGCTCTGGTTCAGCCGTAGAGTAAGCAAAAACGTTTTTGTGTAAATGCGTACACTGACTGATAATCCTTTTTCTTTCAGGAGGGTGTGTGGCTGTGGAGCGATGGCTCTAATTTTAAATTTAGCGGCTGGGCAAAGGGGGAGCCAAATGGTCAAGAAAAGGAAAAGTGCATGGAGATTAACTTTAGAGGTAAAAGACTATTATTGTTCTTTATCCTCTTAGTCATACAAACAATGTTTACTTGATACATTAATTAAGTGCTTGTGCTGTTTTTGATTGTTTTTAACATGCAGAATCTGACTACGTCAACGACTCTGTGTGTTCTGGGAAGAAATCGTTTGTTTGTTCTGCCGACTCATCTCCCCTGGAATAAAGATGTTAAGTCTTCATTCAGGATGTCACTTCCATCAGGATGTCGGGCCTCGATGACATCAAGGTTTCAACGATTGATTGACTCTTCTGATTGGCTTTAACTTTTAATCAATAAACGTATGCATCCTGCTAAGTGATAATTCTGTATGACACCAGT